GATCCATATATTCCAAGAACCCTCTTCTGCTCAATGAGAGACTGTAACATGTAGAAGGTACTATTCCAGCGAGTCTGCACGTCCTGCTGGAGTCTTTTAAGTGGTTGGTTGAGTTGTACCTGAATATCTTCAAGCCGGGAGTAGGCTAATGTGGAGTGTTTAAAATGTCCAACGATTTTTCGACCGACAGCCACTGCATCAGACACGCTTCTCTGGGCCAAAAGTCCCTCGTTAACCACCAGCTGGAGGGTGTGTGCAACACACGGCAAGCTCGGGAGTCCAGCATCAGTCATGGCTTTTATCATGTTCTTAGCGTTATCACGAAGCACAACATGAACAGAGATTTTGCTCACCCCCCACTCCTGGAGCATGTCATGAAACACATCTGCGATGGCCTGGCTCGTGTGCGAACCCCGAAATGGTTTTGCGTGCAAGATGACCCTCCGTGGTGTAAAATCCTCATCAATCCACTGTGCGGTTAAACTAATAAGAGACACCGGGCTAATGCTGCTTGTCCAAATATCAGTCGTCAAACTAAGGCCCGAAACGTCTTGCAGAAGGTTCTGAATGTGTCWCTTCACAAAATCGTGTAGTTTAGGTAACGTTGTTTCTGTAATGTGGCGGCGGCTAGGAATCTCATAACTCGGCTCCAACACACCAAGAAGACGTCGAAATCCCACATTGTCAACAACGGATAATGGCTGGTCATCAAGAGCAATGTABTGAGCAAGAGCCTCTGTGATTTTCATAGCGCGAGGGTTGTCTCTGGACATTTTCTCCCGCTTCAGCAGAGTTTGCTGCAAAGTTGGTTGTTGTTGTTTCCCGCTCCCTTGAGAAAACTGCTTGAACTCGCTGTCGTGTTGGTTTTTTAGATGTTTTATCAAGTTACTTGTGTTAAAGCTGCTAGGGTTTTTTCCTCCTCTGGACAAGTTCGCTGAACATAATTTGCAGTCGGCCTTACTACTGTCACCTTCGTTCACCAGAAAATACCTCCACACCGCTGACATAACGCCTCCTCTGCAACCTGCTTGCTTGTTAAAGTTTGTGACCAACGTGCTCGTCGTCTTCTTCGTCTGTTTTTTATGCGGCTGCTGACACCTGCAGGTAGTAGGGATGATTAGTGGCAGAGGTTTAACCTGCAAGAGAGAAAACAAATATACACAACCCCGTAACAGCATTTAACAATAAAGGTTTGAATCTTGAATCTAAATTTCTGGTAATGTTGACATTTTTTTTGGTGGGGGGGGCATCAAACCAAAATAGTTCCAGGAGTTACACTGAAGTCCCTCTGGGCTCCATGGAGACCAACTTGTTGCTGAGTAGAGTGTCCATAAGCTGGAAACATACTCCCTGCGAACTGCCGACGTCGGCACGGGTTGTCGCAGTTTAATGACGAAAATTACGTCACTGGGCTCTGCAACGCCATGTCGACAGCCCCTTTTGGCACAAACCCCCGGCAGAACGTTTTGACCCCCTCCCTTGTCGACGTTAATGTGTGATTGGTCTGAACTGAAAGCGCTCGGACAGACACAGCAGAAGAAAAAAACAAAAACTCGCTTCTGACTAGAGCATACTGTTTTGAGCAGTTTTAAAGATAGACAAACCGAGAAAAACTCATGCGTGTTTGTGCTGACAGCGCTATGCGCTGCATTTACTTCAACCACTCGATAAAAAAAGAAGAAAAAAACGACTCGCTCCCCGAGCCGACCAGGAAGCAGAGTTTTATAAAGTCAAACTGTAAAAAAACTCATGAATGGAGAAAAACAGACATAACAGATAAACAGGCACGGAGGAATCTGAAAATGTGGAGCTTTTTAACCAGGACAGATGCGGATTAAAATCCGTCGGGTGAGTGACTTTTTTTCTGCATTGCTGTTGAGGGGAGAAATTCCATGCAGTGACGTATGGTTCAGCGGGAGGGAGGGGTTCCCCCGAGCTCATCGGTGCAGTGTGCAGGAACTATGAAAGGTTTGTGCGAAAACGACTGCCGACCAACCACATGACCGCACATCAACCCGTCGGCGTCTGAGCGCGTATGTTTCCACCTTAAGAGTTACTTCTTGCAAATGTAATGGCCTTATTTACATAACATTGATGGCAAGAAGGGTTATTCACATCTGCCATATGGCAGTTCCTTGGGATTTAAAGGTATAACTGCCACATGGCAGGGGTCTGGTAGTTCTAGGCTGTTTTGGAAGCTTGTTCGGGAATTGTGCCTAGTCTGGGAGACTTTAGGACGGTATATTGTGCCTGTACGTCTTGGGGAGCGTTGGCAGAACTAAAGGCTGTGGTTGCTTCAGTTGGTATGCCGGATGACATACCTTTAGAACGTTGGGTACATGCATTGTGGCCAATGATTCAAGAGAGGTTTCCAATAAACATGGAGTCAGCAGAGTTGAATAATATCCTTCCACGGGAGGATGAACGGGGGTCAGCTTATTTGTCAAGGGTCAGAGAGCTTTGGGACTCTAAAAAATTGGTGTGGATCAAGCTTTTGACAGGCCTAGTTGGATCATGTTTAAGTCTGCTGTGGTGAAATCTCAGTCCGAAAATGTGAAAAAGGAGTTGGAGGAGCGTATTGTGGGGTTAGACAGACTTAATTATTATCAATGGAGTGATTACATGGTTCATTATATTGATAAAGAGATAAGAGAAAAACAAGCTGAACAAGAAACGAGATCATTGGAAGCACAGTTAGCAAAGGCTAAACTGAAAGATCTGAGATAAAATGAACCAGGCAAAAGAAAACACTACAATACTAATGCCTCAGTTTGTGGTAATGCCTCAAGCCGAGCCACAACTGGTTTTTGTAACACCTGGAGCAAGGGGGCTGAACGGGAATCAGGCTTGTAATTTTCAGCAAAAACAACACCCACCTGCTAGGGGCAGGGGGACAAGATTTAACTGTAAAGGTTAAGTACAAAGGAGAGGAAGAGGGGACTACAATGCGTACGTTTGTTTCTTGTGTGGGCGAATTGGTAATTGGTCAAAAGAATGTCCAGCAAGAAGTGGGGGACTTTCACAACAGGGGGCAGGTCCAGCATTTGTTCTTCCATACTATCCACCACAAACAGCACCGACAACACATAAAATGGGACAGTCCTGGGTAGCAGGACAAGGGGGTGATTTCAAATGCAATAGTGGTGACATGAGCTCAGAAAATCAGGAGTATAAGTGGAACTGACCAACCAAACACAGGAGGCAAATGAAAAAGGTAAGTGATTTTATTTACAGGTGCAGGGGAAAAATGTACAAGTCCGGATCTGAAAAAAGGGGAAGAGTCCAGGTGCGTCTTCTTCAATAAAGATTGGATCTTGAATGATAAATATTATAGATAATGAAAATCCTTTCTTACAGGTTTCTGAAGAACAGATCGGCTTAGAGGTGAGGTTTCCTTTGAGAGGTAAAAGGTTTCTTCAGGCAGAGTGGCAAGACCTTAAAAGAGTCCTTGGTTCCTTTAGGTGATGATCCTGGGCAGACCAAAACTCCCGATGATGTAACGGCGAAGGTTTCCTTGAACAGCAAAAACATTTGGTAAGTAACAATAAACTTCAACTAACTATTGTAGGCTTAAGCACTACCAAAAACAGTGTTATGCATCAGTGAGGATTCATCCGTCTGGAGACACTTTTAAAGCCCAGGATGTCATCAGGGTGATTGCATGCAGGTGGTGCAATTAGGAGCAGGAACCAAGCAGAAGGAAAACACCAAAACCTCCTGTTGTGGCAATATTTATTTAACAAAGACAGAAATATGTGGTCCAAGAATGAAGGTAGTCCGTGAGATGATCAGCTGAGTTTTATTGCAACAATAGGAAACACAGAGAAAAACCTGGCCTGTCTCTGTGCCTCTGCTTCTCTGTCACTGTCTCTCCACACTGTCCACTGTGTCTCGAGAGGCCT